AANCACCCAATTATTTGAGAGTTACCATCAGGCTCCCATCGCAACATCAGCTACGTCCTCCCAACCAACGGGCGGTTGAGGCAAGCGATCTGGAGAGCCTGGCAAACCACTTTAGGGTCTGAATACTGCCATTGTTCTAAAAGATGATGCAAATTCCAAGGTCTGAAAAGAGATTTATACAAAGAGTGTTAATGAAAAGTGATTCTGTATAAAAACGCAAGATCGTTAATGCCCAATTTTCACAAAGGGAGCTTGTGCTTACTCTAATTGCCAAGAAATTAGATGAATGCATCCCATTCAGCTCAGCACGGCAAAAAAAAAAATGAATGGAAGATGGACACAGGACAAGCAAAAATTATTCCCTAGATTTTTTTTCAGGAATTTTTTTTGCAGCAGTCGGCACAAAGGAAATATTTGCATGGACAATGGTCATTTTTGATGCAAAATGCTCTTCAACTCCCACATGATATGGAAGTGCCTGCGAGATTGGAAGGAGCGTCTCTTATGAAGGGAGCCTCCTCGACAGCCAGTTTGCAAGGGATCATTTGAAACAACTGCCGTCTGGGTTTTTGTACTGTGTATGAGATCTAGCCCGTGCTTGCACAATGGACCAGACTAGACTATCAGCACAGCTGCATCACATTAAACATCACCAGTCAACACATTCAATGTGAAGTAACTGGTTAGGGTAATGACTTGGAATGTGAAAAACAATGCAAGTTCAATAGAGCGAGTTCATTGTCTGAATGCCAGTGACGGAGAATGAATGTGGAGTCTTACAGATGGTCAATGATATCAAAATATATAATCCTTGGTTTGATATTGCGCCTCGTTCACATAGTGTTACAACACGGAAACAGGCCATTCAGCCCAATGAGTCCCTGCCGATGCTTATACTCCACGTGGCACCCCACTCCAACAATCACCCTCACTGTACCCCTCTATTGCCTCCTCCCTTGCATATGCGTCAAACTTCAGCAATGTATCACGTTGACAAAACACAGAGCTTCACAGCATTCTCTGTAAAGTGGAGTGACTGCATTTTGTGGACAAGCAACTTCTGGACGCGTAGAGAATATTCTTTTTGTGTTAAACAAAGGCCAGACACTAAAGACCTGAACACTACAATCTGGACAGCTTTGAGAAGCTCATCGACAGAAGCATCGCCTCTCTCATCTGTTTCATATCTTCGTGTCTCTTTCTTCATTGTTTTTCCCCCACGTTTTCTTAATAGATTTTGTTGGTTTGCAGAGCTTCAGTGACCCGCTTGAGTTTGTCATTGCTGTTTTGTTCTGTTGCAATGTGGACTTTCATAGCTGTGACTTTACCCTCATAAATTGAGGAGCATCAACTATTTATTATCAGGAGCCTCTCGGCTGTAGACCCATCTGTAGTTTGTTACCTAGATTTGGAATGAGTTAAGTCTTTTCAAGAAGCCATACTATTTTTCTGAATAGTTAACGTTGCTGTTTATCTGACCTCTGCGGTTCTCCTCTCCTCTACTGATTGCACTGACTCAGGCTGGGATTATCATCCTTGGGCGAGTGCCTAAATCAAGCAGCATTCATCAGGTTGAGAGTCTAGAGGTAAGGGTCAGCAGGCAAATTGCCCAGAATTGCGGGGGTGGTGGGTGGGGGGAGGGGGAAGTGAGGAAAGAAGTGAAGGTTATTGTTTTACTTGCAGAACTCTCCAATAGCTCAGTCAGTGAGTGAGTCAGTGTGGAGTGAGTCAAGCGCTCTGAAGCGCTATCCCGTATGAAAGGCACTATATAAATGCAAGTTGTTATTGTTGTTGTTGGGAGTGATATGGAGCAGGAAGACCCCAGGCCCCTGAGCTGTGCCGAGTTGGTTGATGTCAACCAAGTGGCAGCGATTCTAACCACAATTAGAATCAACAACTGCAGACGAGAGAGGGGACATCGCTGAGCTGCTGGGAGGGGAGAGAGAGGAGGCAAGAGGACGGCATGTCGATAGAGGGAAAGAATGACCAGCTGACTGTGTATGTGATGACTCCTAGCTCTCAGTGACTCAATCTCCTGCCGTCATGTAAAACCAGAGAAATGTCCAGCCCATATACGGACCAAGGTGGGACTGTTCTTTTTCACGTCTGTTTGCTCCTCCAAGAACCCACCCACCTTAATCCCAATCCCCTGCTACTTCTTCCTACTCTCCCAAATCCTTCCTCTGCACATTCCTGTCCCAATTCTTTTTTAAACGCCTTAAAGTGCCTCACAGGATTTTACCCTGAAGTGCAGCGACTGTACTTTGTAGGCAAACCCGGCAATCTCCTTAGTCGAGATTGGGTCGAGTTTACATGCAAGAACCACAAACAGAGGAAATAGAGGAAAAAAAAATCGAGATTTAACAAAGTAGTTTATTATCATTCAACACTTGCTATAGGCACGAAGACACTGGCTGCAGCTGATAGGAATCACGTACAGAATACAAATTGCATGGTGTTTAAAATTTAGTGCATTTAGTGAGTTCTGAAAGTATTCCTGGAAATCTTCACTGCGAACGTGTAACTCATCTGGGCTTTCGAAACGGGGAAACATGCACCTAAAATTTGAACTCGCCCCCTTTCCGCACAATAGAAAATAAAGTGTTAATTGGTTTACTCTTAAAATAGCGCCATAGATAGCATGTTTCTATTGGGATCTGCCAGAAGGAACGGGAATAAAAAGCCAGGAAATAACAGGGGAAGCCAAACCAAATCCATTTTTTTTGTTGTTTTGTTTTTTTCGGAAGAGGATTCCCAAGTGCGGCTGCAAATGCCGAACCCGATACACAATGCAGATCAAAGAGACAGGGAGATTCTGAAGGTCTGTAATATAGCCCACAATGAAAAACATCAGCAACATTTGTGTAAGGCAAGACTATAAAATGGGAAGGTTCCTTAGAGCGAGATCACATCGTTCATTGGTTAAACCTCACCTCATCCAGTAAGCTGATTCTTCCCCCCCGCCCCCAACCAGGAAAAAAAAAGGTCTCAATGATACAAACATTACACCGCGATAAATAAAGGAATAAATAGGTCAGACGAACACAACATCGTAGCACGGCATGGACAGGTAAATAGCATTAAATGATATGAGGATCTAGTCCTGATATGGCTAAGGCCCATTTTAATTCGCAAAAACAGTATCTGTTACAAACCACACAAAATTATCTGTTTGTAAACTGAAGCATTTAATATTTCCAATATTTCATTGTTCGGTGACGGTTTACAACCCTCAGTCCTGTTTGCAGGCACAGTGCCGTATCATATTCGTGATTATATTTTAGCCATAATACTTGACATTTTAAAAAAAAACTATGGACACTTCGGAAACTGTGCAACCCAGGCATGTTTAACACAGTGAATGACTGAGGGGTGGGAGGGGGGTCTCTTAAGACATGTCAGTTTGGCTGGAATGAGCAAGTGCCAAACACAAGGGGTTGATGTGAATGAGCGAGATCTTTTCTCACCGCCCGCCCACACACACACACACACACACACACACACACGAACACAGTATATATAACAAACAGATTTAGCAAACACCATTCATTGAAACACTTTTTTAGGGCACCGTGTTGCTTTGCTGCAGAAGTCGCTTATTTTTTTTGCCTGCATTAATGTTTGGCAGACGCAATTTCGAATCAACACGGTGCCTTCGTTTCTTTTCAGTGATTAAAAAAAAAATCTTAATATACATCAGTAGGAATACCACAATATAAATTTGACAGTACAATCATGAAGTACAGCACCACACAATACTCAGCTTTGTGGGTCATTAACTCTATGGGGGGGGGGAAGGGGAAGATATTAATATTTTGCAGGAGACATCATTCATTATTTAACTCCTAACATGAGCTTTGCTGAAAATCTGCATGGCATGTTCAAATCAGGGAAGCTTGTAAACAACTATTTTTAAACCCAAAGTTCTCTGCATGAATCCACCCACAGGGGAGCAAAACAAAATGCTTTCGAAAAGATTGGTGTGTTCACCCCATTTTGGCCCTCAAACAGCTGACGATACCATTCTGTTGGGAAGGTGTCAAGTCATTGTCGTGGCAAAGAGGTTCTGCTAATTATATTGTAATCTCTGGCCTCGAAGACTCGATGAGGCGCTACATTAAATGCAAGGATTATTTTTATTTCCCAGCTGGGGGAAGGGAAGGGAGGAGGTGGGGCCAATTGAGAGTTGACTCACTTATTGACCACTTGTCGTGGCGAAACATAAACTTGAATGTATCTGCTCCCTGACCATCCGGGAGAGCTTTACATCTCCCTAAACCCTCCACACAAACAGGAAAATAACTAGTATTGATGACCACGAACTCTGGTCACACCACCCCAGCAATAACTGGCAATTATCCATACAGAAAAGAGAACTTTCTGAGAATCAATGGCTTAAATGTTTTGCATTTATATAAATATTTAATCTGTTGAATCTCCGAGTGCCTCGCCTTCTCTCTCTCTTTCTGCCCCCACGGCCGCTCCAGTTTATTGATCAAAAAAATAATACTCAATCACTCAATCCACGACTGTTTGTGGGACACTGCTGTGCACAATTGGCTGCCGCGTTTCGCCCACAAAATGCACAGTCACTACGTTTCACAGTACATTTTGTGAGGTCCCGAAGACGTGATGAGGCGCTGCATCAAATACAAGGATTAATACATTATTCATTGATCAATAGCAAGGTTTACGAATTAGATGGCATTGAGCTCCACAGATGAGATGTAATCACTCGGTCTCCCTCTCTCTTTCCCTTCAGCTATGGGCAGTCTCACAGCAAGGGAATGAGCTCAGCCAAACACAATCCAAGGTGAATTTTTGTGGTATTTCCTATTTAAGAAATCCAGAAACAAGGGACTCGGGAAACACTGACGCAACTCAACAACAACAACAACTTGCTTTTACACCGCGCCCCTCATGTAGGGCAGCGTCCCAGCCGTGGGGGAGGGAGAGGTGACTGTAGGCGCGGTCAAACAGGAAGGTCTTCAGGCGTGACCTGAAGATGGGGTAGGAAGGGGGCAAGGCAGAGAGACAGAGGAAGAGTGATCCCGAGTTGGTCTGATTTCCAGAGCGGGTTCCCCTTGAGTCGGAGTGACGCGCTTCCGGCTACTGGAAAAAGAGCGCCCGCTCAGACCTCCAAAAATACCCCAATCAAAAACCAACCCGTACACGTGCAGAGGGAGAACTTGCCCGAGTTCTGTTTACGCTACTGTAATCCTGCATCCAAATGATCGCGAAAGGGGAAGAAACAAGACAGGCGGCACGATTTACGAGGCGGGCAGTGGGGGGGGGTCGGCACATCAGAAACACCGTATATTGCGAGATTACCATTAATTTTTTAACATTAGTGACTGTATTGCCGAGAGGTGGGGACCACTACCCAACCCATCTCCTTATAAGAAGGTCACGTCATCCTGTGACTGCACCCAATGCCAATGAGCATCGTACTCAATGTGCACTTTGTTCAGTTTACAACTATCGTAATCTACTTTCCCATTCCTCTGAACTTTGAGCTTCCCGACATCTTTGCACGACTTGTCTTCGTGAGGAAACTGAGCTTCCACCCCGCGCTCCGCAACACCGTTCCCTTGCTTTCCCAAAATCCCATTGGCTGTGGCGGACGGTTGACAGTGCGTCTCGCCGGTATGTTTCTCTGTGTCCACCTTGTCGTATGAGCTTCCTCCGTGGGCGGAGGGTAGAGAGGACACGGGATCCACCGTGGGCTGACAGTATTCATCCATGTCATCGGCCAAGGTGTCCAGAAAGCTCCCGATGGAAATGCCGTCGAGTTTGTCGTTGGGATCCTGTAAGCTGTTCCAACTGCCTCTCCTCGAGGTCTCCTGGCTCTCGACAAGGCTGTACATGCTGCTGGTCAGACTGCTGCATCTGCTGGCCAGAGTGCCCTTCTCTTCCAAAATCCATTTGACCGCCTCAATCCCTTCGTTAACAGCCATCAGTTGGTGCATTATTTTGATGTCAATCGCCCTCAGATAGGCCTGAAAGTCACAAAGCGATCATAAATGTTACCCAAGGTAGCGACAGACAAACAAAAAACCACAAACAAAATCCAACCACCAACTCTGCCCAGACCTCGCCTTTAAGGTAAGAGGGATTGAGAAGGTGAACCCAGAGCAACAGTTTCATGTAATAATAAATAATCATAATCCTTGCATTCGATATAGCACCTTATCACGTCTTCGAGATGTCTCAAAGCGCTTCACAGGATATACTGTAACGTGTAGTGACTGTGTATTTTGGGGGGCGAAACAGCAGAACAATAGGATACAGGTTGAGGGGCACGAAAAGTAATTTCACTCGTGCCTAGCAGACCTTACTGAGGAGGGAAACAAGGTGCCTTATTGTAATTAATATTTCATGTTTTTGCGTTCTAGAACAATTTCATTTGAATTTTGTTTTGAGATGCGAGTGTTTATCAAACAGCTTTGTGGTTTTGAGGGAACCCAAGTTCAGCTGTTCCCATGGTAACCGCCCGGTATCCTTCAGTTATTCAGAGGTAATAGTGGGTAAACATCACCGTAACAAGAGAGTCGCTGCCAGCGTTTTCACAGAGAACATTTTTGTCATTTTAAAAATAACATATCAAATGACCAATAATTCATCACTTGTTGGCACTGAAAGCAACAGGTTAGACTGATGCAAAGGTACACACCAAATCAATCTCCATTAAGGTACTGATAAACTGCTTAACTGGACCAAATAAAGTCACTGCACTACAGAGAATCCTGTGGAATGTCCTTCCGACCTGAAAGGTGCTAAATCAAATCAAAGGATTATTACTTTTACCAGTTATCAAAATGGTGAATAGATACATAGAACGTTACAGGACTTAATAAAAAAAATATTGTTGTCTATTTGGCTTTAACTCCAAAGTTAAAGAAATAAGAATCTCTCTCGTTTATTCAAGCAATCAATATCTCATATCCTTCAAATCAATCAATCAGTCTCTCAATATCCTTCAATCAATAGCTATTTGGCAATCTAATTCCCTCTTGAGTTTGGGAAGTCTCGCTGCTATTGCCTCCCAGGTTAGTCCAATCCACATATCGTATTCACCACTCTGTGTGTTTTTGTACATTATATATTTTATACAACAATAATAATCCTTGCATTTGATACAGTGCCTGACCACACTGTTGAGACATCTCAAAGCATTTCACAGGATACACTGTAAAGTGGAGCCACTGCGTATTTTGTGGGCAAACCATTGTGCCGTCAACTGACAGGAATGAAATACTCATCAATTCTCTAAATTTGTTTCATCAATAACACATTTACAGGAAACCTTGCTGGGACCCCAGTTGCAAGACATTTATTTGGATCAGTAAGAAATCCCTGGAGTGTGGGAGAGATTTTAAAGAGCGGCTGTGTTGAGTAGGAAATGAATACTAGCTAAACAAAATAACACTGATGTTATTAAAGACTGGTCCAAAGGCTACAGTTGCCTAGTGCCTGGCTGAGATGAGCTTTTAGGTGCAGATCTGCCGCAAGGCCAATGAGCCACATCAATGGAAAATGGGAAAGAGGAAAAGAAAATTTGGTTTAAAATTAATTTGAGTTGAACAAATCACCGTTTACTTAAACTTCAACCTAAGGAGCTTTGTTTCAAGCAAATAAAACAAAAGCGCGCATTTGTCACTGTGGTTAAAACAAATCACGGAATACCACAACAGAGCATCACAGGGTCTTTTGTACATCATAGAAAGTGGTGTAGCAACAGCAGGTAACTGAAGCACGGACAGGTTCATTAGTCATCGATCAAGGTGGTGGCTGAGTGAGCAAAGGGAGTTTTGGGTTGTGTGCGTGTGTTTGTGTGTGGGAGTGGGGGGGGGGGATAGAGAGAGAAATATTGAGAGGCAACAAGAAAGTCAGATTTCCCAGAAACAACTGCTACTTTAATGGAGAGATAAACATTGGCGTTATTCACAAGCTGAAAAACAGCTCGTATCTGGCTCGTTGACACAGTCAGTGTGTGGAATTTTCCACTGTACCTATAAACCCATGAGCAACCTGCTGAGCTCTGGCGTTTTACCCTGAACAGGTGTGAAGCAGGAATTAATCGAAGGAAGCAAATGTTTTTTTTAAAGTCCAATGCTGTCAGGATTTTAAAAAGAGACAGAATTATAAGTGGATGGAATTTCAAAGCTGCCATATAGTTAAAGTGGATCCCGATCAGAACACAGACATCGATCGCAAAGCTTGATTATACTGGTTTGAACCCAGAGATTATGATACATGACCTTGTAACGCACACTAAGATTTCTCTTCAGTTTGGAATTGTTCAGTGCAGTGTTGAAATCATGCCATAGAAAGATGGGTAAAATCAAGTCCAATGAAAAAAAATTACATTGGTGGATGTTGAAAGGCTGTGGGCAAGTCCCAAACTAGAGAGCATGAATATACGAGAGCCAACAGTAGATCTAACAGAAGGTTAGGAGGAACTTTATCATGTAGGACGAGGTGAGAATGTGGAATTCACTGCTAGCTGTGGTTGAAACAAATAGGGTCAAGCATTTAAGAGAAAATTAAATGCCTCCATGAGGGAGATGTGGCGGCGGGTGGGGGGGGTGGGATTCATGTAGAGTATGAACACCGACATGGATTAGTTAGGCCGAATGACCAGTTTCTGTACCACACAACTACATACGTGTCAGGGAGAGCAGCATTCAGTCAGTGTGTTAGCAGGATTTTTGATTTTGTTATACACCAACGATAATGTATAGCCATGAGAGTCACTATATGACCGAGAGGAGCAAAACTCTCTATTGCAATTCTCCATACACATCCGCTCCCGCCAATACAACCCTTCTCAGCTCAAAAACGGAATTCTCTGTCACAACCCTTAAGCATAAAACATCTTCTCTTCCCCCTCCGTCCCTGTCACCACCGCACAATCCATTAATTCTATAAAACCAAGGAATATCCAACATTGCTCCCATATCTGGGGAGACAAACTACTCTTGCACTCTGGAACAGGACACCACACAAGTACAGCCACTTACTCAGTGATCTTTTCCTCACTACTCTCTCTCTCTCTTCCCCCATCCCCCACGTTGAACTCCTATTCCTCAAGTCTTCCCCACTTCATTCAATCTAAGACTTTGCAATCCAAAGCTCGGTCTCACCACCTAACACTAACCCAATTCTTCCCGACTCCCATGTTATCTCTTAATGGTGGCCCTCGGCTTTTCGCTCAGCTTCTCAGTCAGAAAAGGCATAGCGTTCACAAGTTAATGGGGCATTGGTACCACACAGTGTGCCACTTGGAACACTGTCTCCATTTTCAAACAGGGAGTTTAACATTTCCAGGAACCTAGCCCAATGGAAAAGCTAATTGATATTTGAACAATGCCTCTTTCTAACTAAAAAAAATGTTAACTGCATGTTCCCTGTAGAGAGCCAGGCTCTTTTAATAGGAGTTAGTTGACCATGGTAACCTATTCACCAGTTATTAAAGATCAAAACTCTCATCTGTCTTCTAGGTCACTGTGGTTTACACCTTATCTGTGGCTTGCTATCCGAGCCAACTTGTTTTCCCAATAGGTGAATTTGCCTCGTCAATTTGCGGCGGTGGTGGTGGGGAAGGGGGAGAGGAGGGAGCAAGAAATTGGAATTAAAATTCCTCCAGTGGAGGAGCCAGCTCAGGTTAGATGGGTCAGATGGCCTCTCCTTTCGATGCCACAAACCCCATTTTCTAATGGACATGGGGTCAAAAATAAACGATCCAACAGACCATCAAGCAACGCAACATAAAAATTGCCTGGACGCAACCAGACTGCTATCTCTGCAGCCCACAGAAACACAGAAAAGCTCGAAAGAGATTGGGAAGTGGATCCAAAAGATACTCATAAAAATCGGCTAAGAAAAATGACGTTATCATCAGTCAGCAATAATGAACCAATAATAAATCTGAATCAAAACATCTCCAAGCGCTTCACAGGATTCACTGTAAAGTGTAGTGACTGTATTTCTAGGTCAACGGGGCAGTCATTTGCATGCAGAAATGTCCCACAATCAGCTCCAAAATGAGTGACCAATTTTATCTGGGGGATCATTGACCTGGATACCGGGAGAGATACTATCTTCTCTTTCGAACAGTGCCACGGGATCTTTAACATCCACCTGAACTGGCGAAGGTTTAAAGTCTTGCATCGCGTGGACAGAGTCTCCGACAATACAGTGCTTCCAGCCCACATTTGTGTTCTTCCACTTAGAGATGCCAATCAAAGCAAAGATGTCACATCAATAGAATTTTTTTTACATTATATTTAATTAATGTAGCAAATTATTAAACTGATAAAATATAATGTTGTGTGTAAAATCTATGCAAAACAGTATGTTTGGCTTCATAATCATATCGTTGTGGTGGCCTCTCCAGGAATTGTTAGAGAGAGAGAGAGAGCAACCTCTGCAGCACAGAACAGAACTCGTCCTGACGCCACGGATGAAACTGCTGCCAAAAAATGCTTCTTGAAGCTGCTGCCTATCCATCCAGCCAACAGCCCTTCCTCATCTCCTCTGAACGGCTCAGCAGCCATCACTCCCACACTTTCCCCCGCAGTACTTGGTGAAGCCTCGCCATGTAACATGGCTGGGACGAGGAGCGGTTCAATAGGCTTCGGAGCCTTAAACCCACATTACTGCAGGATGGGAGGAGAAGCTACATTAAATGGATTTGTTTTTTTTTGGGGGGGTGGGGCCTTAACTCAGGAATTCACAGAACGTGGAAGAGGGCGTAATGTCCCCCTCGCCTCGTGTGACTTGTTCCTTCCCTCCCCACCGAGCTGAGAGAAGACATGAACAGAAACAACTACTGCCTCCCACCCCACCCCACCCCTGTGGTTAGAACCCAGGTATATGGTTAGAGGGACCTCACCTTTTGAGCCATCACCACCAGAGGATGGTAGACCCTCAGGTTTGACCTCAGTGAACCCTCCAGCAGCCTCGGCTGCTGAACGTCGCAGTAAGCGACCACGCTGTGAGGAGAAAAACACAAGAGATTAACGTAATCTGGCGAAGGCTGCACATCTCGCATTGTTACGACTGGAATACGTGGGTTTCGTTAATCGCACGGTTAGAAATCTAAGTGGTTCATTAAAGTGTCACAACAGCCTGATGCAATTATTGCCTTTCCACTTATTTCCCCAATATGCATTGTTGTGGATTATTGTTTCTCTCTCAAATCTTTTCTTTTGCAACCTTCGTTCTCGGGCGGGGGATTAAAATAGTTTTCATTGCGGTGGTAAATGAAATGCTTTGAGAGAGGTATCCTGCCGATGTGAAAAAGGCACTGTGTCAAACACAAGGATTACGTCAACAGTGCAAGTAATCATTATAAATTGGCCAGCGGTGTCGAGAATACTGAGGCAGATTGAATTTACATTGGTACGAGAACACAACGTGCCGCAGTACCTGATCTAAAGAACAATATCCTTGTTTTAACAGGTACTTAGCAGAAGCATATGGTGTATTTCAGTAAATTACTGGCAAATAAACACATTGACATACATAATAGGACGTGTACGTTGAAGTTGAGTTGCCCTCGGGGCTTGATATCTGCTCTGCGAGTCGGGACAATAGTAACAATTTTTTTTATTGAATTCGGCGTGTTTTGACTGGATTTGCTTTGGTTATGACACTGTGCAGTCAAAAAGTCCGTGATTTAAACAGCGGACCACACGCAATGGCCCCGCCGCCATCACACCAGTCACCTTCATGCAACTCTGCCACAATCCTGGAAGAAATTATATTTATTCAGTACAATGGTCAGCACGCCGCTCACTCTCTGTGGGCTCCACTGCAGCACGTCACCATTGATCAGTCTAATCATATAAACCACGCAGTCAATACTCCACAAGTCTTATCCTGTGAACAACCAAGCCAGGTAATTCATCTCCTATTTTTAACCAGATGCAGCACTGAGTCAGGGATGGTCTCCCTGATAAAGGCTTCAGGGCCATAACTACAATCCTCTGAAAAAGAGAGCTATAAATTGTATTAGTGAGCCTCCTCTCGATTGACCCCAAACCAGTTCAGTCAATCTGCTAGAGCTAACCAGATAAGGATTTTAGAGTCTGGTACCGCAATATAGGGATTATGTGGCTTCCACTCACTACCGATACTTGTGAGAATGTCTCACCACCCACGAAGCAAACTTAGTGCGGAACTAAGTTCTGACAAAAAGGTTTCGTCGACTTGAAATGTTAACTCACTTTCCTCTCTCCATAGATGCTGCCTAATCTGCTGGTGTTCCCAGCAACTTTTTCGTGTGGAACTAATGGACTTTGTGTGTAAAAAAAAACTCATCCCATCGCTTTCCAACTCATACTTTCTCTGCACCTCAGGATTACGAAACTCCTTACCTCTTCCTCTGCGTGTATGACATTTCTTCCGTCCCCCACCCCACACGCACACATACAGACTTCAAAAACGCACCTCAAACCTAATGGCGATCAATTAATATCAGAACCATTTCTCTGCACAACCTTATAAATGAACATCTATTCTATTCTCCTTCCTGATCCCCCTGTGGGTTTCATTTGAAAGAGCGCCTCTTCACCGGGGGTAGGTCCCAGAGCACTTGACCGTGGCAGAGCACGACGCTGAGCCGGGGGGGGAGAAAGGAAGTGACTGTAGGTGCGGTCGAATAGGAAGGTCTTCAGGCCCGACCTGAAGATGGGGAAGGAAAGGGGAAAGATGGAGGGATAGTGTTGCAGAGTTTAGGGACGTAGTGGCCACCAATGGTGGAACGGAGGGCGCGAGGGGCATGCAGGAGGCTGGAGCCAGTCGAGCGGAGGTAGTGGGTTGTGGGGTAAGCAGGGAGAGAGGTCGGGAGGTGCCAGGGCATGAAGGGATTTGAAAACGGGTGTCAGGATCTTGAAATGGTTAGTACATCATTTGCTTGCTTGATCCCTTCCAATCCTTTCCCCCCCGCCACCCCATCCTCCACCCCCCTCCTTGTTTCCTTTCACCCCACTCAAACAAAATAGCACTCCTCTAACTGACCTGTCTGACATTTCAGCCCCAAAAAAACTTTCCATGTTCTTTCACACTTGTGTTACAGCTGTAATAAACGATCAGAATGTTGCACATATTGGACCATTACCACATTAAAATGTTCAGTCTCATGAGCACATATTGCAGGAGGCCAACGAAACAAAGAGTACAGAACAGGTAATGGTTTCCATATAAATTAAAAATCTAGAGAACACAATGTACTAATTTGAAAAGAGCATTGTTAGCCACGGTGGGAAAAAGGAACACCAAGACACAAGACTCGTTTCGCCCACAAAATATACATCCAATTAACTTTACGGTATATTCTGCGAAGCCCTTTGAGGCGTCTCGATGACGTGATAAGGTGCCATGATCAAATGCGAGGATTATTATTTATTGTTATTTATTACTATTATAAGATAGCAGAGTGGCAGCCTAATTAAAGGGGAAACTGCAGATAAGGGATGGAGAGCTGACTCTTTGCAACGTAGATGAACAGCTGGTTTGTCAGCCTTTTCTCAAGCCAATGCCTTGGCTCCGCAGGAAGTCTCGCCTGGCTGCTCATTATCCAGACAATACTAGACGGGCATTAACAAGGGGGGGGAGAAAAAAATCCATTCGATGGCTCAGCTGACAGACAAAATGATAAGGCGTTGTTTCAAATGCAAGGATTATTATTATTATTCACATGGCTTGGAATATTTCTGCTCGTTTCTCCCCGAGTTTCCTGCCATCCCAACCACTCCCTTCTCTCTCTCTCTCTCTCTCTGCCAGTGTGAGCTCAGCAACCCCTTCGCTACCAGTGTGAACGATCATTTATTTAACCCGAGGGTGTCTGCGAGCACATTCATCCATTATCCAGCACTAATTGAAGTGCTTGATTGGTTTTCTGATTAGAAGCCGGACGGATTGAGACTCCCCAAACTCATTTGACTTCGGCAAATTCACACCCAGCGAGGGGGAAGGGCTTTCCATCTGAGCTCAATTTAAAATAGAAATCCTCAGTGGCGAAGGGCCAATCTGATTACTAAAATGTTCCTGCAGAAAAGAAAGATTTACCTCTGAGGGCAAATTTAAAAATTGCTTAGGAGAAACTGCAAAGTTAATAATAATAATAATTCTTGCATTTGATATACAGTAACACAGTTCATGTCACATCCTTTCAGAATAGCCACCCTCCCATTCTCCCAGCACAACATCAAGCTGTTTTTTTTTTAAAAAGAAAAAAAACAACAAATCCAATGTCCTGGCCTCGATCTCCCTTCCTGACAACCTGTTCCAGTCATCAATTAATCTCTGGGGGGAAAAAAAACCTTAAGTGTCATTCCTAAAATGGCCTTAGCAACTCTAAACCCATGTCCTCTTGTTCTACTGTCTTGGTGCATCTGAAAATATTGTTCTGGGTTTATTGTTTCAATAAAGTAAGGATGGGGGGTGAATGGTGGGGTGAATAGGGGGGCAATGGGGGGTAATAAGTGGGGGAATGATACGCAAGTGAAAATGGTACATGAAAATGAGACTGACCAGATGACTGTAATGGCTTTTTAGTTTCCCGGACATTTTTATATTGCTGCCCCCCCCCCCCCCCCCCAAGAAAAAAAGCAGGAAAGATTCGGTCGCTTCGATCCACGAGTGTTGGCGGGGACGCCTCTGGGCGCAGTTGTCTGCCGCGTTTCGCCCACAAATGACACAGTCGATCCACTCCAGAGTGCGTTCCGTCAAGCGCTTTGAGACGCGATAAGGCGTTATGTCAAATGCAAGGATTATCATCATTATTATTATTATTATTATTATTATTTCTCTGCTGGCTGAGTGAGGAGTGAGCCCGTCCGATCCCTCTCTCTCTCTCTCGCCCTCTCTCTCTCTCTCCAACGCACCCTTTTGCGTTAACCCCTGACTCGCCAATCCCTGTTTTATTTCATAATAATCCTTGCGTTCGATCTGACGCACAGCAATAGCCCCAAAAAACAGCCAGGGAGAGTGAGGGACCAATTTTATTTTATTCACTGCCGCGTACCGGGCTTTTCCCCCAAAATACCCAACAGTTCCCTCTTGAAAGCTAACCTGGGTCTTGCCTCCACCGCTGTTCCCAGCAGAACACCAGTGATGGGTCTCGTTAACCAAACGGACTTCTGGAAAGGATTGATTTCGTCCACACGGTGGCTCCATCGAACCATAAACCAAGCTTCAATTCTTAAGGGAGCGAATACTAAACATTCGCAAACGTCCGGTGATGTGTGGTTTCTGCGTTTCTGTTGTTAACCGTTAAAAATGAAGAAAAAAGACGCGTTAATTAAAAAAGAAAATGCCAAAAAGGTTTAGCAGAAAGTAAACGCAGAGGTGAAAAGTATTCTGCTGGATTTTGATGTTCACCTATCATAAAACAGGAGTTATGAAATTGTTAAAACATTGGAAAAGTTGTAATTCTGGTGGCAAGAGAACTATTCCCCTCACTATCTGTGTATCCGAGGGCATTGCTTCCCTTAGCAGTGAATACAGCGAAGATTGTTGAGCTGAACATATCTACCTCTTTGCAGAAAGTCCATAATTGAATGGCATTTGTGTCGTCCTAACCTCGACAAGATGATGGCACAACACAGCCATTAACACTAAACTGGCAGTCCCAGTCATTGAGGAGCTACAGCCTGGCTGACTGGTTGTGGGAAAATAATACTCTCAATAATAATAATAATAATAATAATAATAATCCTTGCACTTGATATAGCGCCTTATCACGTCTTCGAGGCGTATCAAAGCGCTTCACAGGCTATACTGTAAAGTGAAACGACTGTGTGTTTTGTGGGTGAAACAATGGTACAGTAAGACAAGAGATTCCCATTTAGAATTACGAATCATAGAATATATAGCACAGAAGGAGGCCATTTGGCCTATCGTGTCTGTGCCGGCTCTTTGAAAAGAGCTTCCAAATCAATCCCACTCTCTGACTATAGAATCATTGAATTAGGATTAAGGCCTCACAATCAGACATGTGCATCTGCTTCATTTTACCTGAATGAGGAGTGAATCACAGTGAAAGAA